CGTTGGTCACACGGCGTTAGGGCGCGCCCGGGCCATGCCGGGACCGGCACACACCGATGCGCCGGCCCTGGATGAAGTCCTCCACCTGGCCGACCCAGACGGGCCGAGCCGCCTGCCGCTGCGCTGAACCGGCCCTAACTCGGGACCGTGACCGTACTCCACTAGGAGCGGGACCTTCCTGCTGACGGAAAAAGGCGCGTAAAAAAAAAAAATCGTAGTCGTAGTCGTAGTCGTAGTAGTAGTAGTAGTAGTAGTAGTAGTAGTAGTAGTAGTAGTACTAGTAGTCGTAGTCGTAGTCGTACTGGTAGTAGTAGTATTAGTAGTATGGTGACTGCCCCTCCATGGATGGAACATTCCGCGGGCATGTGCACAATCACACTATGTCCGGAGTTACCTTTAATCCGCATCATTGGCATGAGACTTGCCCTCGGGAGGGGCATCGCATCACGATTGCAGTTTACACTATTAATTAAGGTGGTGAACACCCTCAACCAAGATGACATCGACACATTCAGTCGACTACAGTTTGTGCTGCCGGCGTAAGGACCACGAGCCAGCACCTAGTGTGCGATTTGTGGCCACTTCAAAGTGCGCCCTTTCGGGCCACTTGTACACTCGCAGATCCCATCTTTGTACAGTGTAAAAATGTAAAAAAATGTGTAAAATTGCAACAAATACTGGACTGTGATTTTCGCTCGATGGCTCGGGGAAACACACCATGTTTTTCTTAATTCTTGCATGTTGAACTGATTCATTGCTTCAGCCTTCTGCTGGAGTATCTCTTGACTGCTGAGTAGGTGAACTTGCCCGCGTGAATGTGTGCTCTCGACGCACCGGTGCAAAGCACTGCCACATACCCTACGCCAAGCTGAGTGACCAGCTTGGAATGGAAAATAGAAGCAGTAGTACTAGCAGTAGTAGTAGTAGTAGTAGTAGTAGTAGTAGCAGCAGCAGTAGTAGTGGCAGCAGTAGTAGTAGCAGTAGTAGCAGTAGTAGCAGCAGTAGCAGTAGTAGCAGTAGTAGCAGTAGTAGCAGGAGAAAAGGTAGTAGTAGCAGCAGCAGTCGTCGTAGTGGCTTCAGCAGTGGTGGTGGTGCTGGTGGCAGCAGTAATACTAGAGTCGTCGTCGTGGTGGTGGAGCAGCAAGCAGTCTATTGTCACACTGTTGCGGCGCATGCAGTCGATTAGGAGTTTTCAAGAATTTTTTTGCGCTTTGTCGACTCCTGGCAGTGACCGGTGACATTTCCTTTGGCCGCAGCCCGAAGCACGTTTATTCGGCTTTTGCACGGGTGGCACCAACTACGGCGCCGCAGTGGCTGGGCTGCAGTGGACCGTGATCGCCTCGGCCGCCTTGTCGGGAAGTGAGCCTCAGCCCGAGTCGAGTCTCTGCAAATGTGGCCGTGCACCAGCACTGGAGGGTCACCCTTGGTCGCCTCAGTTTCTCTTGCCTTTTGGGAGTTGCTAGGTTTTGTTGCAATTAGGTGCATGATGGGTACAAGTTTCGGTACGTTAGTGAGGTAGTAAGTAGAAAGTAGTATATGATTCAAGTAGTAAAAGCAGTCACGTAGTTAAAAATAGAAGATTGTACAGTATAGTACGTAGTAAGTAGTAGATAAGTCATTAATGAATAGGAGAGAGAAACTTCAAACATAAACTTCGTGCATGCATGCACCAGTGCGCAGACAGCATATGCTTCCTTGTCTTTAGGCCGAAACATGAGGAGGTACTCCCAAGACTCCGTGCCCAGACTCGACTAGTGCAAGTTCTGCGCCGACACCCGAATTCTCGAAATTGGCTCCCAACTTGCAGCGGGTCCAGCGCCCTAATTCGGCGGGCGCTGGGGGCCGAGGCACGCGGCCTCGCACACCAGCGCTCCGTGCGCTCACCGCAGGCTCTGCGAGCTGCTGCGCGCGATGGGGGCAGCCGGGCCAGCGAAGCGGAGCGTTGCAGCGCGCATTTGGCTTCATGCTATTGGGCGGAGTTTAGAGCACGCCGACAAGCACGCCCCGCTTGGTGAGGACGTCGTGCTCACGGAGGCTGAGCAGCCATCCATGCTGCCCTCGGTTATTGAAATGCATCATACGACAGCGAACACAGCCGTGCGCCAAAAAGAAAGCCAATCTCCTAAGTTGTACGCCTCCACATGAGGTTTGGTTGCAGTAAAGCAATAACGCATAGGCTGTTCAGAAGTCTGCGGTTGCAGTAAAGTTTGCAGTAGTAAGCATTTGAGAAGGGTTTAGTTGCAGTACAGTACTAAGTTTTTCAACCTCCAAAAAAGCTGTAGTTGCAGCAAACTTTGTAGTGCTCGTTACGCCTGTATAAGGGGGCTTTAGTTGCGGCAAAGTTATCCTAAGTTTTCAGCATCTACGAAGGCTGTAGTTTCAGGCTTGTACTTGCAGTGCAATGGGAAGTCCTGGGCCTCTAAAACTGCAGCTTTAACAGGAGACCTCGCCAAATCTGTTCAACAATTTTGCATTTGCAAGGCGGAGAAAGGTGTTCCCTTAAATTGCATGGTTTTCTTGAAAGTGCCTTCGTCATTGAATCGCTGGAAGAATGCCCTTCAAACCTGTGTAGAGGCTTATGAGGGTTGTATTAATCCAAGGCATGGCATATGGCACACGAAAAAAATTTGTTCGCAAGATGTTTCCTCACAGCGGGATGCCCAGCTTGCGTCATGGCTGAGCGTGGCGGCTGCTTGGTGTATGTGCCGGGGTGCTTATTTGCGAACGAATGCGGGCTGGGGATTCAACCGACGGTCCAAATATTCAAAAGTTTTTGCATGTGAGGCAGGGTCATTGGTGTAACCCAGCCGCCACCACATTGCCCCCCTCAACAAGCTTCCCCCCTGCTTTCAGTTCCGGACATGCCGGCCCGTGGACAGCACGCCCGTGCAGGACGCTGCGGGGGGAACATAGTGTGCTCCCAAGTTGCTGCTGCAACGCCGGCGGCCCTTGCAAACGCTGGCCCCACTCCCGCTGCTGCTTCGCCTTTTCGTGTCGTGGGTCGCGAGTGGGATCATCCGGGCTTTCAAGCTCCCAGGCCACGATCGTCAGCCCCCTTGCCGAGATGGCCAGCCCCCGACCACACGCTGACCATGCAGTTGACCGGCAAGCACCCAACATATCCCGATGCGCAGCGCTGCCGTCTGGTGCGGGCTCGCCAGAGGGCGCCAGCAGGGGCGAGGCAAGCAACGATGCACCGCACCGGAGGACTGCGCTGGACTGACCCGCTAGGTGACCGCCAGGAGTATTAGAGACAGGACCCCTTCAGGCAGGCAGAAACAGGCGCCGGAGAGAGAGTTTTCGTGATTTGGGAAAGAAACTCCATGAACCGCATGAGTCCAGGTGTCGCCAACGAATTTGTCAGTGGTTAGAGTGTGGTAGGTGTGTTCAGCCGTCGTGCTTGTGTGAAGCCGTGTAATTTTAGACGGCGGACGGGCGGCCTGGAAGTGGTTTGAGTTTTGCACGTGCAGCAAACAATCGATTGAGTTTTCTAGTGAGGTTAGATGAACTGCGTAGATGTATGGGGCAGCCATAGCAAATCGTTGTGCAACTCACACACAGCCGTCGATTCCCCCTACCCTGTGATTTTCACCCGTAGGTAATTTGCACCGGATTGCCTCGAACCCGAAATTGACACGGCATTTGTTCCGATATCTTGTTTGCTGATTGGCGTCAAGCGTTGGGCAAGCCGTCCGTAGCCGGATTGGTGCCAGTCGGCCATGTTCTTTCACTGTGCTGGCCTCGCTATGCCTTTAACCAGTGTTTTGGCCTTCCGACGTCGCTGCAGGATTCACAGCGTGTCCCCGACCCAATGTCGAACCAGTATGCGCAGGGAACATTGATATGGGTGGGTTGCCCAGACAAGCGCAGAGATTGAAGAACCGGTAGAGCGCCAAATGGGCGAAGTAAGCACACGGACAGGTGAAACACGAGGAAGAAGTCTGGATACAGGCTGAAATTGTCGGATGTGCAGCGAAGCTCGCCTTGCTCGATTTGTGTTTCAGGCTGAAATTGTCACATCGAGCGAGAAGGCGCCCAGCACAGCTGCTGCGCTTGCCAGCGTTGAGTCCAACCTTTCAGGAGATCATCGTCAAGACAGCCGAAGATCCAAATGGTCGACTGGTCTTGGGACCAAACGAACCGATTTTCCTGAGGAGCATCGATCCAGCAAAATCACCTTCCGACGTTGTTTGGACATTCGCCGCGCCTTGGAGGACGTCCGATGTTTTCACATCAGAGGGCTTGTCGGTGCTAGATGATTTGACGCAGCTCATGCCTCAAATGGCGCGACAATGTGCCACAACGAGATCTCACGTTTACTTCGCCGGGGATGCGAAATTGCAGGTTGACACACTTACACGAGCCGGCGGTTCTCAGCTCACTACAGCTTGGACCCGAGTGTAGTCTTCAGTCCATGACCTGTCTCTGCAAGATATCACTAAGGAATCGTTTCGATATAGACAAAATCTACACATTTACCGGACCTATCCTCATCGCGTGGCACCCAAATGACCGCATGCAGCGGCACGCGGGATTCGAATCCTTTTCCATATAATCTTGTTGTGACGAACAAGGCACTGAACCCTTTCAAGCATATCCCGGGCCTGTATGATGAGGAGGCCGATTTGTGGTACGAAGCGCAGGACGAATCTTTGCATCCTTTGCCGACAGATTCTGAAGAATTTCATCACGACAAAGCCATCTACAAAGTGTCGAGCTTAGTAAGCTATTCCACGCGTATTTTATGCTAACCTGCTGATGGCCAAAGTCTTGATTCATCGTAGTGCCTGCTATGTTCAAGGCCGCATGTGTTCAGCACATCAAACGCGTCGTATCGCGGTATTTGTGATCGCCACAAGTCCCAGCCGAATCCTTAGTAGATGTTTCGTTGCCAAGGCACTAATGGCAGAACGGAGATTGTCCTGCAGATGAAGCTGCGCGCGCTGAGGACGGTTCTCATCAGCGGAGAGTCCGGTGCAGGCAAGACGGAGACCACAAAGCAAGCGCCTTGGTAGTAGTGTCGGCCGGCGCATGCAACACGCAAATCAAGCATGCTTGCAATCCTCTGGCTGACTCAGGTTTGTGATGAAGTTTCTAGCCCTTGCAGGATCTGCCGACGGTCAGGCATTTGCTTGCAATGGTGTATACTGGTTCTTGCATGGCCAGCGAACGTGCGCAACAGCGTGTTGACAGGTTACCGATGTGGAAAAGCAGGCTGACAGGGCTACTTCGACAGCCGTAGTTGCAAGTGGCCTCGCTTGATGACGGTCACGGAGCATCTCTTGAAGCTGTGCTTTCTCGCCAAACCATTTATTCTTTGTTGCCGAGTGAATGATTGATTCTATGAGCAGAATCGCGGCGAGGTGTTGGAGTCAAATCCTTTGCTCGAAGCTTTTGGGAATGTGCAGCCCTTGGATGATCATGACTTCGATCAATGCGGTCTTATGCGATTTCGTGGGCCTGGTCAGCAAATTCCACTCAACCGCAGAGGCCCGAACCCTCCGGAATGACAACTCCAGTCGCTTTGGAAAGTTCATCGAGCTTCAGTCCGGGTCCCGATTCCACATCGGTGCTCTGCTGTGGTGTGCGCATTGCAGGTACAGTGTCAGTTTGCTCAGTCAGCCTCACCTCGGCATTAGCATCCCAATTTCCTTCTATACACCTTGCACTGTCCCGGTCTCTTAACTTCTCATTTTGCGGTTCTGGCCCAAGTCTGAGGTGGTGAAGTTGGCACCCCTGCTGCGTATAATGTGCTCCCGCCACGGCTTCAAAAACAGGCAAAAGCATGCCATGCCGTGGGTGGAGCCTCATCGGAGCCGCTTCGAAGATGGGCGCGTCCCCGATGACTTCTCACAGTAGGGTCCGATGATAATCCCTGTTCAAAGCAACTGACCTTCCGTTCGTTGGTATCTAACCTTCTGACCTTTTCGTTTTGGGAGCCTTAAAGGGGCTTTGAAAGCAGGATTTAAAGTGAGCATTGAAGACCATGAACAGTGAACAGTGGACAGCAACAGCAGCAAAAGCAGGAGCAGTATAAGCAGCCGGAACAGATTGCAAATTGGAATGGGGGTGGGGCAGGGCAAGCTCAAAAATTATGTCGTGAATATATTGTTGCCAGAGGGAAAATACACGACACTGTTCTCTGTAGTAGTAGTAGTAGTAGCAGCAGCAGCAGGAGTAGTAGTAGTAGTAGCAGCAGCAGCAGGAGTAGTAGTAGTAGCAGCAGCAGCAGCAGGAGTAGTAGTAGTAGTAGTGGTAGTAGTAGTAGTAGTAGTAGTAGTAGTATAGTAGTAGTAGTAGTAGTAGTAGTAGTAGTAGTAGTAGTAGTAGTAGTAGTAGTAGTAGAAGTGGTAGTCGTGGTCGTCATGGTAGTTGTAGCGGTAGTGGTAGTAGTAGTGGTAGTGGTAGTAGTACAGTCTAAAGTGGTATAGTGGTAGTATAGAAGTAGCAGTAGTAGCAGTAGTAGTAGTAGTAGTAGTAGTAGTCGTAGTACTAGTAATAGTCGCAGTAACGACACTGTCCCCTGTCCAATGCACGTGTGCATGTGCTCGCGCGCGCTGTTGACTGTTCCTGCACGCACTGTTGCCTATAATATATGCTCGCACACGCTGTTGCATGTGCTCGTGCACACTGCGCGCACGCTCTGCGCACACTGTTGCCTGTGCTCGCACACACTGCGCGCACACTGCGCGCGCACTGTTGCCTGTGCTCGCACACACTGCGCGCGCACTGTGCGCGCACTGCGCGCACGCTGTTGCCTGTGCTCGCACACACTGCGCGCGCACTGCGCGCGCACTGTTGCCTGTGCTCGCACACACTGCGCGCACGCTGTTGCCTGTGCTGGCACACACTGCGCGCGCACTGCGCGCGCACTGCGCGCGCGCTGTTGCCTGTGCTCGCACACACTGCGCACGCACTGCGCGCGCACCGTTGCCTGTGCTCACACACATTGCGCGCGCACTGTGCACGCACTGCGCGCACGCTGTGCGCGCACTGCGCGCGCGCTGTTGCCTGTGCTCGCACACACTGCGCGCGCACTGCGCGCGCACCGTTGCCTGTGCTCGCACACACTGCGCGCGCACTGCGCGCGCACTGCGCGCGCACTGCGCGCACGCTGTTGCCTGTGCTCGCACACACTGCGCGCGCACTGCGCGCGCACTGCGCGCGCGCTGTTGCCTGTGCTCGCACACACTGCGCGCGCGCTGTTGCCTGTGCTCGCCCACGCTGCGCCCACACTGCGCGTGCACTGCGCGCGCACTGCGCGCGCGCTACCACTACCACCACTATCACTACCACTACCACTACCGCTACCACTACCACTACCACTACCACCACTACCACTACCACTACCACTACTACTACACTACTACAACTACTACTACTACTGCTGCTACTACTACTACTACCACTACTACTACTGCCACTACTGCTGCTGCTTCTGCCACTACTACCACTACCACTACTGCTGCTGCTGCTACTACAACTGCTATTATTATTATTACTACTAGTACTACTATTACTACCTATAATACTACCACTGCTTCTGGCAGTACTACCACCACTGCCACTACTACCACTTTCGCTGCTACTGCTGCTGCTGCTGCTGCGGCTGCTGCTGCTGACAATGGACAGTGGACAGTGTGTGTGAGAGGGTCTGAGCTTGTCGAGGTAGGACAGCAGTACCTGCACAACAGCAGCCCGGAATCCCTCCCCCACAATTAAACAGAATCCCTCCCCCACAATTAAAAAGGTCGCGAATTAACCGACCCCTCCTCCGGTTAATTCGCCTTTCCCCACCTTTTGCCCTGCCTTGGCACGATACCCTTTTAGACCTAATAACTGTCCACTGTCCACTGTCTACTGTCCACTGTTTGTTAGCACTACCAGCCGTGACTGGAGACTTGCAGGCCGGCTGGGCACGTTTACTAATACAGAGTTTCATGTGCAGAAAATAGGCTTTTCAGGGTTAGCTTTCTGGGGGTATGTTTCAATGTGGAGGATTCAGAGGTGTTGTGGGTTGGACGAAATCTTTCATTGTCTTAAGCTTGTGCCCTGATCAGCACTTGTTACCAGTATGCTCATGTCCATCAGCAACAACTTCACAGCTGACAACACCCTCGACACTAACACCATAAATTGAACCGCCTGGTGTGACAGGTGAGGGGGGGGGGGCGGGGCGGTCGATTAATGTACCCTAGGGGTAATCATTGAGATCATTCAGGCTCCCAGCTTACTCTGCAAGTGTGCTGTTGCTTTGAAGTTACATGTATCAGGGCTTCCTTTGTGCTTTTTTTTTTTTTTTTTACTGCATTGAGTAGGTTATTCAAATCATTTCAACCGCTATCAAAATGGCGGCTACTACTCCAAATCCAGCCACAAGTGCTGGCCGCCAACAACATCATCATTGAAGGCTTGGTTGTGTGTGATCTGCTTCGAGGAATGATGATTGGATAACTTCATGTCGCGTCAAACATAACCGTGTTACTTGAGTGCTTTGTTTTGTTCCAGAGATGTCTTAATGCGAAGTAACGGTGCCCTGATTCATTGATTCGCATCCCTAGAGTAGATAGAATGCTTTCTGTGAAACCCAATATACTACCACCTGCTCGCGCGCCCATTTCACTGTTCACTGTTTGCTGTGCATTGTCCACTGTACTGTAGCCAGTTGCATTGACTGCGGGCTTGCTTGGCACATTTGCAGGAATAGCCTAACTCAGGTTGCATCGCCAGCACTCTGCATGGGCCCAACCCACCACAAACTTGCAGGGGCCCTTGCGGACCAGCCAACTGCAAGGGGCAGGTTAGGCCAACCAAATGCAGGGGCAATGCACATCAACACAGGAATTCAGAATATGTTTGGGTGTTGTGAATGTTGTGAATCACGAGTAGTTGCCATCCCTATGAGGTGAGACTTCATGGGCCTGACTGTGCTGCCCACGCTTTTTTGCCTGCCTTGCGCTTCTTATGTCGCCAGGCATTCCTGCTCGCGTGGGACTTCACAGTGTCCTGGGAGCTTGGCATCTCGGCTGAGGCCGTGGAGTCGGGGCCTTTTGTAACAGTAGACAGTGGACAGTGCACAGGGGACACGGTCAACGTTCTCTTTGGAGACAAAGCTGTAGTAGTAGTAGTAGTAGTAGTCGTACTAGCACTTGGCGAAGGATGCGCGATAGGTTCTGGGTCTTGCTTTGGTGACATGGCTTCTGGATCATCGCTCGGCATAGCAAAGCATACTGCAACTGATGCATGCTGAAGGGCCTCCGCCACGTCTTCCTCGTTTGCATGGCAGTAGTGCCGCCTGAAGGTTCCCACGTCGAGCCGCTGCTGGATTTCCATGAGGACATGCTCAGAGGCGCGTTGACCGCCCTCTGGGGTTGCAAGCAACAAGGCAGATGCAGTGTGTCTAGTAGCTCCATGCACTGTCACATGTGAGCCTTTGAATTTCACATTCCAACGTCTGCGGCCGGTGAGTGCGAACATCACTTTCGTGACATGGGTCACTGCTTTCCACACTGTTTGCCTGGCCATCCACGGTTGCTTTGCTTTTTTGGTTTGAGCTGGGAATATGTAGCTGCTGCCAATGGGCCAGCAGAAGGCTTTGGACGAGCGTGGCGGAAAGTCTTGAAACACGCCTGGGTGGGACTTCCTGAATGGCTCAAGTGGGGGCAGCACACATCTCTGCACACCTTTGTCCATCACCTCCCTGAGTGTGCTGACAACATCCGGAGCAAGACGAGCAGCGATGCAGTCAGCCCCAAGTTTGACCATTCCTTGGAAGTCTTTGTTGTCTTCCCGCTTTTGGAACAAGATGTGAGGAGCATCTTGCATGTGCCCTCCATCCAGGAAAACATCCGAACCTCGAAGTTGCAATGCCTCAGAAATTCGACGGGAGGGAACCATCGTGATCCATAATGCCATGACATACCGTGGCCCGGCAAAGTAAAGGCTCACTGCCAGGAACAGCAAAAGGTCTTCCCTGGGAACGAACAAATGCTGGAGGTCTGTCTTCTACAGCTTTTTACCTTTGTTCCATGGCTTGCGCTTGGCTTCTTGCACAGTGGACTGTGTCTTCGACCTTCTTTTCTGCAACTTGCCCTTTGCGTCTGGCACAGTGGACAGTGAACTGCAGGACAGTGGACTGGTTAGTCTTTTTCTGGGTGCCATGGGGTCTGGTGAAACACTACTACTGGATACTCTAATGTTGCCTTGAGCCAGGAGCTTCTGTTGCGTTGCACTTGGAGGGATGATGTCACACTGTTCGCTGTTCACTGTGAAAACCATTTGCCTTCAGCCCCGAGCCCTACAATAACTATGCAACATCACATGAATGCTCCCCTGGCAGGTCCGAAAGCCAAGCTGCTGTCCACTGTTCACTGTTCAGCTGTCCACTGTTGACTGTTCACTGTCCTCGCCTGCAGCAGCGGCGCCGCGGCATTGGCTCCACGGCAAGGCCGGGTAAAGTGTCATCCCTAAACCCCCAAAATGCATGCATCAGCTTGCGCTGTCTGCCTGCTTTGCTGCATGTTCACACAGATTCAGATGAACTTTGCAGTGCTACCTTGCCGCCGGTGTTTAAATTCGACAAGACCACTGTGCCCTGTTCCCACTGTCCCTTGTTGACTGTACATATTTTGTTGTGTGCCTGAAGCAATGGCTGACACGGGTTCGGCGGCTGGATCCACGATTTC